AACTACTGGTGTGGTGGCACATGCCTGCAGTCCCAGCTATTCAGGAGGCTGAGGCAGGAGAATCACTTGAACCTGGGAGGTGGACGATGTACTGAGCCAAGATCATACCACTGACGCTAGCTTGGGTAACAGAGTGAGACTTGGTCTCAAAAAAAAAAAGAGGAATTTTCCTGCAGAGGCTCCTTCTCTTTGCCTGCTGCCCTCCATGTAAGACATGACTTGCTCCTCCTTGCCTTCCACCATGATTGTGAGGCCACCCCATCCACATGAAATTGTAAGTCAATAAAACCTCTTTCTTTTGTAAATTGCCCAGTCTCAGGTATATACCTTTATCAGCAGCCTGAGAACATATTGATACAGTAAGTTGGTACCAGTAGAGTGGGGTGCTGCTGAAAAGATACCTGAAAATCTGAAAGTGACTTTGGAACTGGGTAACAGGCAGAGGTTGGAACAGTTTGGAGGGCTCAGAAGAAGACAGGAAAATGTGGGAAAGTTTGGAACTTTCTAGAGACTTGTTGAATGGCTTTGACCAAAATGCTGACAATGATAATGACAATGAAATCCAGGCTGAGGTAGTCTCAGATAGAGATGAGGAACTTGTTCGGAACTGGAGCAATGGTAACTCTTGTTATGTTTTAGCAAAGAGACTGGTGGCATTTTACCCCTGTCCTAGAGATTTGTGGAACTTCAAATTTGAAAGAGATGATTTAGGGTATCTGGTAGAAGAAATTTCTAAGCAGCAAAGTATTGAAGATGTGACTTGGGTGCTGTTAAGGGCATTCAGTTTTATAAGGGAAACAGAGGATAAAAGTTTGGAAAATTTGAAGCCTGACAATGCTATAGAAAAGAAAATCCCATTTTCTGAGGAGAAATTCAAGCTGGCTACAGAAATTTGCATAACTAATAAGGAGCCAAATTTAATCCCCAAGGCAATGGGGAAAATGACTCCAGGGCATGTCAGAGATCTTCACAGCAGCCCCTCCCATCACAAACCCAGAGGCCCAGAAGAAAAAAGTTTCATGGGCCAGGCCCAGGGTCCTTGTGCTGTATGCAACTCAGGGACTTGGTACTCTGTGTCCCAGCCATTACAACCACATGATGTTGAGCCTGCCAGTGCATGGAAGTCAAGAACTGGAGTTTGGGAACTTCTGCCTAGATATCAGAAGATGTATGAAATGCCTGGATGCCTAGGCAGAAGTTTGCTGTAGGGGTGGGCCCTCATGGAGAACCTCTGCTAGGGCAGTGCGGAAGGGAAATGTCGGCTCAGAGTGCTCACAGAGTCCCTACTGTGGCACCGCCTACTGGAGCTGTGAGAAGAAGGCCACTGTCCTCCAGACCCTAGCATGGTAGATCCACTGAAAGCTTGAACTGGCTTTTGGAAAAGCCACAGATAATGCCAGCCCATGAAGGCAGCCAGGAGGGAGGCTGTACCCTGCAAAGCCACAGGGGTGGAGCTACCCAAGACCACGGAAACCCACCCCTTGCATCAGCATGACCCAGATTCAAGACATGGAGTCAAAGGAGATCATTTTATTTATTTATTTATTTGTTTGTTTGTTTGTTTTTATTTTGAGACAGAGTCTCACACTGTCACCCTGGCTGGAGTGCAATGGCACAATCTCTGCTCACTGCAACTTCTGCCTTCTGGGTTCAAGTGATTCTCCTGCTTCAGCCTGCTGAGTAGCTGGGATTCCAGGCATGAGTCACCACACCCGGTTAATTGTTTGTATTTTTAGTAGACATGGGGTCTCACTATCTTGGTCAGACTGGTCTCGAACTCCTGACCTCATGATCCGCCCTCCTCAGCCTCCCAAAGTGCTCAGATTACCGGTGTGAGCCACTGCGCCTGGCCATTTTAGAGATTTAACATTTGACTGCCCCATAGAATATCGAACTTGCATGGGGCCTGTAGCCCTTTTGTTTTGGCCAATTTCTCTTATTTGGAATGGCTGTATTTACCCAATTCCTATACCTTATTGTATCTAGGAAGTAACGAGCTTGCTTTTTATTTCACATGCTTATAGGTGGAAGGGACTTGCCCTGTCTCAGATGAGATGTTGGACTGTGGACTTTTGAGTTAATACTGAAATGTGTTATGACTTTGGGAGACTGTTGGGAAGGCACGATTGGTTTTGAAATGTGAGGACATGAGATTTGGAAGGGGCCAAGGGCAGAATGATATGATTTGGCTGTGTCCCCACCCAAATCTCATCTTGAATTCCTGTGTGTTGTGGGAGGCACCTGATGGGAGGTAACTGAATTGTGGCAGCAGGTCCTTTCCTTGCTGTTCTCATGATAGTGAATAAGTGTCACGAGATCTGATGCTTTTAAAAAGAGGTGTTTCCCGCATGTTCTCACTCATAGGTGGGTGTCGAACAATGAGAACACGTGGACACAGGGAGGGGAGCACTACACACTGGGGTCAGTTGGGGAGAAAATAGGGGAGGGATGGTGGGGGGTGGGGAGTTGGGGAGAGATAGCAAGGGGAGAGATGCCAGATGTAGGTGATGGGAAGGAAGGCAGCAAATCACACTGCCACGTGTGTACTTATGCAACAATCTTGCATGTTCTTCACATGTACCCCAAAACCTAAAATGCAATGAAATAATAAATTGGAAAAAAAAATTAAAAAAAAGAGGTGTTTCCCTGCACAAGCTCACTCTCTTTGCCTGCTAACCATCCATGTAAGACATGACTTGCTCTTCCTTGCCTTCTGTCATGATTGTGAGGTGTCCCCAGCCATGTGGAACTGTGAGTCCATTAAACCTCTTTCTTTCTTAAATTGCCCAGTCTCAGGTATGTCTTTATCAGCAGTGTGAAAACTTTACACAGGATCCTTTACAGATTAGATGTTAATGTAAGAGAAAAGAGTTAGAAAATTTCAAGGTCTTTGGATTGAATAATGGAAATAGGGAATAGTTTTACTTATTCATTTAGTTTTTTGAGACCAAGTCTCACTCTGTCACCCAGGCTGGAGTGCAGTGAGGCCATCTCAGCTCACTGCAACCTCTGCCTCCCTGGTTCAAGGGATTCTTGTGCCTCAGCCTCCTGAGTAGCTGGGACTACAGCTGTGTACCACCATGCCTGGCTAATTTTTGTAGTTTTAATAGAGATGAGGTTTTTCCATGTTGCCCAGGCTGGTCTTGAATTGCTGGGCTCAACCAATCCACCTGCCTCAGCTTCCCCAAGTGCTGGAATTATAGGCGTGAGCCACCATGCCTGGCCAGGAGTGGTTTTTGATTGCCATGGAGAAAGCTGGGCAATCAGCAGGTTTTGGGAAGGGGCAGGAATTAAGAGTCTAATTGTGTACATGTTAAGGTAGGGAGTTGATATGTAAATTTTGACTTGAGGAGAGAGATCTGAGAATATCTCCAGATATTCAACTGGAATTATCTGCAGATTGATAGTACTTAAAATCATGAGGCTAGACAATGTTGCCACAGAGTGAGTATAAATAGAATAAAGGAGAAGTTGGAGAACTAATGCCTGGATCACTCTAACTTTTAAAGATTAGGGGGATGAAGAAGGACTCACAAAGGTGACAAAGATTGGTAGTGAGTTTAGTAGAAAAGTGACCAAAAGTGCTGTTAGAGAAACCAAGTAAGAACATGTATCAAGGATGTAGTAATCACCTCTCAAATACTACTGAGAGTTCAACTAAGATGAGGACTGGGAATTCGTGACGTAAAGATCAACAATGACCTTGAAAATGTAGTTCTTATAAAATAATAGAGATAAAAGCTTCTTTGGAGTAGATTAAAGAGGAGAGAATGGCAGGAAAAGATGCAAAGGCTGCAAGCAGGGACAATTATTTTAAGATGGTCTCTGTAAAAATAGGGGGAAGAAATAATAGCATAATTGATGTTGATGAGATTCATCCAGTGGAGAGATAAATTGATGATGTAAGAGCTAAAAGGAGAAATTGCTGGAGCAACGTTTTTTATGAAGGGAGAAGAGATGGGAATCAAGTACAAAACTGGAGAGGTTGGCCTTAGGAGCACAGACATTCTATTTATTGCCATAAGCGTGAAGGCAGAGTATATGGGTACAGATGTCAGTAAATGTGATGTTGAGAGTCTGTGGAGGTTCATTGCACAGCATCAGTTAAGAGTGAAAATGGGCATTGGCAAATGGAAAAAAGGTGTTTGAGATTTAAGGAAAAGACAGAAAATCTAAGAGTGAGGTCCAGGAGAATGAGAAAGTCAGTGGACAAAGGAAATATTCTTGAGCTAGAAAGCAAGGTGGGAAAGTGACAAGTCATGTTTGTCCCTTCTTGCTCCTCAAACATGCTAAACTTTTTCCATTCTCAGGGCCTTTGCATTTTCTGTTCCCTCTGTCTGGAAATCTCTTCTCTCAGAGCTCCATCAGCTGGCCTCTTATCATCATTTGGGTCTCAAGTCCTCAAAGATTATTTCTCTGACCACCACAGCTAATGTAACACTCTACCATATTACTCTATCATATTATTATCTCTACCATATTATTCTATTCTATCTTCTGAATCATACCATTGAGATTACCTTATTTAGCTTTGTACTAACTCATCTCTTGCTCTTTCCAATAGAATATAAGCTCCTACTATCTGGCACTCCAATGTGCTACTTGACTGTTCAACTTCCCTCTATTCCCCTAAACATAAAATTTTCCCGCTTTGCCCTCTGGATCCACAGTATCATGAAAACCAGTCCTCCCCAAATTCTCAACCTCTTTACCACTAACTCACTTCTTCCTGCTGCCTCTCTTAAAGTTCTCTGATGAGACTAAGGTTTTTCCCTCCAGCTCATAAGGTTGATAGGTGAGGCTGACTTTCTTCCTGCTCCCCACTGCTCTTTCTTGACCCTGATTCCTCTACCCTCTTGTAAACCTCTCTTCTCTCTATCTCACCAGAGTAAGAGTTTCAAGCCACCTTGATTTTTCATCCTCTCTCATTGTTGGTGTCATCATCTGGCAACGTCAAATGTCACAAGAGCAGAGCAAAGGAGTAACCAATGAATTCATACCTGTTTCTTAGAACATGCAGGGAGCTACTCATTCCATAATCCCAGAGCCGCTCCACTGCAGCAATAAAATAGTGTCGTGTTTTCTTTTGAAAGTTGCGGGGGCTCTGATTTTCATCCTCACCATAAATGTCAAAATCTTCCTTCTTCATTTCAATTGAGATGGTATCATCATAGTCAATTTCCTCTTGATCTGACTGAAGAGTAGTAAGCATTATTTCCCTTTGATGGCGTTTCAAGACTGGTGGGTTTTGAGAGCACAGCCTTTCAGTCTCACTTTGCTTTGCCCTGGTGACTTTTATTTGGGGCTTATTTTGTCCCTCATTTATTGCTGCTATTGCATGATTGCTTTCACAGGGGTTCAGGGACAAAATGGTATCCTTTTTCTTAAAAGCAGTGTTTTCTGCTGACTTATCTTGGGATTTCCACGCATCTTTTGATATTTGAATACCATAGTAGTTATCCCAAGCAAGAGGACCCAATAACTTGGAGGGAGTCTTTGCAGAGCTTTCTGTTGCTCCTCTGAGAAAGGGAATTTTTCCAGGTCTGTTTGCTTCATTCCACTGAATCGCTCCTTCTGTTTCCTGAAGAAGGCTCCCTTCCATGAGATCTAGATGGCCAGGAGACCTATTAGTAGTTTCTGTAGGCAAAAGGTCTTTCTGATAAATGCGAACTTTTGGAATCAATTCAACTTTGCCAGATGTTTCGGGCAAGCCTGATTTCAAGAGAATAGTGTTCTCAAGTTTCTCGTACATGACTGAATTTGTGGCACTTGTCCCCAGGGAGCCAACCTCTCTTTGATCACCAATCATCTCCAAGGTTAGAATGGCTAAAGAAAGGTTATTTTCTTTGGCTCCTTGTAAGAAACGACTGCTTTCTTGGACCCCAGAAATTTTCTTTCTATAAGATGGTGCTAGAAGATGAGAAGAGTTGTTTTGGAATGGGACCCTGCTCAGATCTTTAGGATTAATAGATGGAAATAATGATACCTTTGCAATGGGTAATGGAGATCTATTTGCTTGAGTGATGCTATGATTCCTCGTAAGACAATCTGATAAGGGAGACTGAGTAATGGCCCCTTTGTCTTTTTCATTGACGTCTATCTTTGTGAGTGTGCTCGGGGTCAAGTGTTTCATGTTTTCAGACCATCGGATTGAGGTGTCATCCACAATTAGCCTCTTTTCAAGTTCTGTTTCTTCTACTGGGAGTCTGAATTGTTTCAAAGCTCTCTTACCACGTTGAGTGACAACATTCTGCTGGCTTGGATTAGGAGATAGCCTTGTGGTATGCGGAGATTTCTCTACCATTTGCTTGGTTTGATTTCCCAAGCTTTCCAAGTTTTCTTCCTCTCTTTTTTTTGAGAAATGAGCCTTGTGTTTCTTTGTTCTATTTGTTGAATCATTTAATGACCTAAAATCTTGAAGTACTGGAGCATATGCCCCCTCATATGAACCTTCTACATGTTGTCTAGTGCTTAGTAAGAAAAGGTTCTTCATGAAATTCTTAGTGCCAGTCACCGTATGTATCTGAGGCAAAACTACATCCTCTTGGATTAATGTTTCCTCCCTTTCTACTTCTTCCTGAATATTTTTTTCTTGATTGCGTGTATTATTTTCATGTAAATTATCCAAGTTAGTAAGAAATAGGTTTCTGCTGCTTGGAAAAATTATCTCTTTGAGTCCTGTGTCCTTTGTAAATTCGTCCTTTCCTACTACCACTTCATTTTTCTCAGACAAAAAATTCTGACTTTCCACAGATTTTTCTGGTCCTAAGGATACTAATTGCTTTGGACTAGGGCCTTGCCCAGAGTTCAGGGAGTTATTTCCATGACTCCTTTGTATCCAATTTGCTGATTTTGACAAGATTAGCATTTTAAAGAATGGCATATTTGGATTTTCTGCATCTGGTGGCATGGGTCCCTCTTTTTTTTGGTGGACCATTTCCATGTTTTCTGATGAAGTAGTTTTATTTGACATATGATTTAGCCTCAAATCTGTAGTATTTTTGTCTGTAAGCATTCTGTCATGAATCAAAGGTGTCACTTTTTGAAACTCAGTATCACTTTCTAATATATTTTGCCAGACTGATGTACTATTCTCAATTAATAATGTTGGGCCATTAGTGTGAGTCTTTCTATTAGTTGCTGAATTATTGGAAGATTCTTTTGTCTTTAACAAGGAGATACCAACTTTGAATAAGGCATTATCTTTAGTCAACAAAGCAAGTCCATGGGCTCTTTTCTCTTTTAATAACCTACCAGTTTCTGTTGATATTACATTTTTTCCCAATGAGCTTTCTTGGCTATCCATTAAACCTGATTCTAACAACTTTGAATCACTATTTTCTTCACTCAAGCTCAGAGGTACACCAGACTCAATAATGGGAGATGACTTTTTGCCAAATAGAGTGGTGTCTAACTGACTATCAGAATGAACTGGCATATTTTGGGATCCTAAGGAACTTGTATTATCAGTACCTACTGCCAAATTGTCTGATGGAATTGTTGAAGTCAGATTATTTGATGAACTAGAAATTTTAAAATCAAGTTTCTTCAACTCTGTTGCCATAGTTGTCCCCAGTTTCTCATTTAATCTTAATTGGAGGCCTGGCTCTGGGGTAAATACCATGTCCCCACTGTGATGGAGCCGTGGCCTGAGGTGTGTCATTTCAGATGGGCTGTCATTACTGTCTATTGCTCCAGGTGATGGATCATCAGAAAAAGTCTCATATTTGGCTTCTTGGAGATCAGGTAAGGATAGCCCATGTGGAGTAGGACTCTGTCGCAAAAGCATCAGCAAATCACTAGAGGAGACATTTTGTACTTTAGGCATATGTGTTCTGTGTCCAAACCAAGGGTCAGTCTTCTCTATGTCATTTTCTGGAATTGTGGTGGCATTAAATTGCTTTTGCTTAGTGCTAGGGTGTCTTGAATTCTGGGAGAAGCCTCTTGGTTCAATGCCATTGTTTTCACTCAGCAAGTATGTTGAAATATCTTCATAAGTGTCCTCATAATAATCACCAGTGTTCTTGTCACAACTAGAAACCTTCAGTAAGGCGGTCATGCCTCTGTTCCGAAAGTCTGAGTTGTGGCACCCCAGGATCCATAGGCCTAGATATGAGGAACAATAAGACCCTGGGTTACTCATAATAAGAATTCTAAGAAAGTTCTGTTAAATGTTCTCTCCCATTCCCAGATAAATGAAAAAATACTAGTCAGTATTATTATATCACAGGTCATTGGGTTAAATCCCTGGCATATGTAATATAAAAGTGGTTTTTGCATTGCTGCTGTTGTGCTACGCCTGTTTGTGACCATAAGAAAGGACTGTGATATGGTTAGCAATGTGCAGAAAGCAGAAACTGGACCCCTACCCGTCACCTTACACTAAAATTAACTCCAGATGGATCAAAGATTTAAACATAAAGCTGAACACCATAAAAACACTAGAAGAAAATATAGGCAAAACCACTCAGGACATAAGCATAGGCAAGGACTTCATGACTAAAACACCAAAAGCAATGGCAATAAAAGCCAAGATAGACAAATGGGATCTAATTAAACTCCAGAGCTTCTGTACAGCAAAATAAACCATCATTAGAGTGAATTGGCAACTAACAGAATGGGAAAAAATTTTTGCTATCTACCCATCTGACAAAGGGCTAATATCCAGAATCTACAAGGAACTAAAACAGATATACAAGAGAAAAACAAACAACCCCATTCAAAAGTGGGCAAAGGATATGAACAGACACTTTACAAAAGAAGACATATATGAGGCCAATAAAACATATGAAAAAATGCTCATCATCACTGGTCATTAGAGAAATGCAAATCAAAACCACACTGAGATATCGTCTCATGCTGGTTAGAATGGCGATCATTAAAAAATCTGGAGACAACGGATGCTGGAGAGGACGTGGAGAAATAGGAACACTCTTACACAGTTGGTGGGAGTGTAAATTAGTTCAGCCATTGTGGAAGACAGTGTGGCAATTTCTCAAGGATCTAGAAATAGAAATTCCATTTCATCCAGCAATCCCATTACTGGGTATATACCCAAAGAACTATAAATTGTTCTACTATAAAGACACATGCACATGTATGTTCATTGCAGCCCTGTGTACAATAGCAAAGACCTGGAACCAACCCAAATGCCCATCAATGATAGACTGAACAAAGAAAATGTGGTACATATACACCATGGAATACTACACAGCCGTAAAAAACGATGAGTTCGTGTCCTTTGTAGGGACTTGGATGAATCTGGAAACCATCATTCTCAGCAAACTGACCCAAGAACAGAAAGCCAAACACCATATGTTCTCACTCATAGGTGGGTGTTGAACAATGAGAACACACGGACTCAGGGAGAGGAACATCACACACTGGGGGCTGTTTTGAGGGTAGGGGAGAGACAATAGGGGGTGGGGAGAGAGGGGAGGGTGGGGAGGGATAACATGGGGAGAAATGCCAGATATAGTATACACCTAAAGTAAAATAAATAAATAATAATAAAAAAAGACAAGACTGTGATAAAAATGAATAGATATTGGGATTAAAATGGGGAAATATAATTAATATACACAATAGTGGAGGGTCTTAATAATCACAGAGAAGTCTCTGAAGATGACAGTGATTTAATCCAAGAAAGTATTTATATTAGCTAGATGTTATTGCTATATCACATAGTGGCACAGGTTCCTCTTGAACCCATCAGATTGCCTGGATTCAAATCCCAGTTTTACCATTTACCAGCTGTGTGACTCTGAGAAAGTCTCTTAAGTTTTCTGAATAATAGGTTTCTAATTTGCAAATAAGACTGATAGTATCTACCCCCTGAGATAATGCACTGAAATCACATAACACAATACCTAGCATCCATGGTCACCCATTTGCAGAATAAGTAAGCACAAGGAAAGAGCATTTAGGTCTAGGATCCACCTAATACAAAATTCTACCATGGTACTAGCGATATTAGTTTCTACCACAATCATGATTACCTGAGTGAAGGAATGCAATAAATGATAATAGGCTAATTCCATGGTGATAAAGTAGATGCATAAACGTAAGAGACAAGATACAACTTTACGAAGCTACCCGTTGGGTACCTCAACAGCCTTATCATTTCACACAGTCTTTGCAGGAAAGATCTTAATTTTATCTAGCTTCTCCTCAAGGGAAGCTGCTCCCAAAAGCCCTGTGAATGGTTACATTCTATGTGTAGCCGAATTATCAATCAAGTGGGAAAGGAGAATAAAAACATTTTCTAACATACAAGGACTCAGAAAATCTACTTCAAACGTAACCATTCTCAAGAAGTGATTATAGGATGCTTGCCACCAAAATAAAGGAGTATATCACATGGTATCCAAGAACCTGGTACCTATCCTGAGGGAGGGTAAATAAAAATCCCAAGTTGATAACTGAGCCTCAGGCCTAGAGAGAACCAGCTCAGACTGGAGCAGGAGGATGCATGCCTCCAGGAGGTCAATCTGTAAGCAAAAAGGAATATATTATATGATGGAACTCCTGAAAAAAAGAAGATAATTCAAAGGAAGACATTATAAGAAAAACAGGAAAACAATTAGAGATCCTGGTTAAGCTAGCTAAAAAATTGACTTTTATTTAACCTTCCCTCTAAGAGGGGCCTGGTGTTAGGAATGATGATCAAGTTGGAGTTTAGATTTATCGACTTGGTTACAATTTCGTAATGCAAATATGTTTTTGTGACCAACAGTAAATTTAAAACATTATAATTAATTTATAAATCTCAATTCAAGAGCTTCAAGAAGAGTTGGTTGTTTGACGAAAAAGTCAATAAAATAAATAACCAAACAAAATTTAAGAAATTTCACATATACAAAATTTGAAATAAGAAAAGAGTCATAATTATAGACACAAATAAAATGAAAATAATTATAATTCCCTTGGAGACACCTCAGCTGTCAATCTCCTCCAGCTTCTTACACAGGTATAAGCTACATGGCCAAGTTTGGGGTCTAGTCAGCACTAAAAATATATAGAGCAGTCTCCTGCCTCTGTAATCAAACCAAGGCTTTCAGTGAACTAATTAATTCTGTAAGCTATTATCCGATCTTGGAACTAGTTACTACCAAAGTAACTCAGAGCCAAGTTGATCACAACCTGCACAGACAGTAAATGAAGTAAGAGGAAAGAGGCCATCATAGAAGACATATAAAAGCCCAGCAGAAACTAGATATTGGACTGGGGTTAGTTTATCTTAACTTTTCGTCTAGCTGTTGAGTTGAGAAGGGAATTCAACATCAATTAAGTGGACAGAGAGTTAAGATAAGAACAAGTCACTTATCCTCTCTGCTAGCAAACCTTGATCAGAACATATTTGTACCTTGTTTAAGGACAAGAGAATACATGCAATCTACAAAGATACAGAACAGGAAGAAGGAAACAGAAGTCAGGAAACTCAGAGGCAATACCCACTTCTGAAAGTAATCCACTGCAGATTCTAGAGGAAAAGTAAGAACAAATATCTTGCAATACTAAAACACAAGAAGCTATGTCTTTGTGGTTTTAAATTATGGAAGACACATTAACAAAAAAAAAATTTTTTTTTAATGAGCATAAGACATGAACCGACACTTCTCAAAGAAGATATGCACGTGGCTCAACATCACTAATCATTTAAGAAATGCAAATGAAAACTACAATTAGATATCATCTCACACCAGTCAGAATACCTGATATTACAACGTCAAAAAATAACAGATGCTGGTGAGGTTTTGGAGAAAAGGGAACATTTATACACTGCTGGTGGGAATATAAATTAATTCAGCCACTGTGGGAAACAGTGTGGAGATTTCTCGGATAACTTAAAAGATAACTACCATTTGACCGAGCAATCTCATTACTGGTTATATGCCCAGAGGAATATAAATCATTCTACCATAAAGACACATGCATGTATATGTTCATTACAGCACTATTCACCCTACTAGCAAAGACATGGATTCAACCTAAATTCCCATCAATGGTGAACTACATCTATTGTGATATATATATACCATGGAATATTACACAGCCACAAAAAATAAGAACATGTCCTTTACAAAACATGGATGGAGTTGGAGACCATTATCCTAAGTGAATTAATGCAGGAACAGAAAACCAAATACTGCATGATCCCACTTATAAGTGAGTGCTAAACATTGAGTACACATGGACACAAAGAAGAGAATAATAGACACTGGGGCCTACTTGAGGGTTGAGGGGTCAGGATGAAAAAACTACCTATTGGGTACTATGCTTATTAACTGGGTGACAAAATAGTCTGTACACCAAAACCCCACAAAATGCAATTTATCCATGTATCAAACCTGCACATGTACCCCCTGAAGCTAAAATAAAGTTGGAAAGTAAAAAAGAGAAAGAATGACAGAATTTTCCAAACCTGGAGAAAGATATGAATATCCAGGCACAAGAAGTTCAAAGAACACTAAGAAGATTCAACCCAAATAAGACTACCTCAAAGCATATAATAACGAAATCTTAAAGGTCAAAAAATGTGATTAAAGGCAGCAAGGGAAAAGAAGCAAATAACTCATAAAGGAACTCCAATATGTCTAGCAACAGACATAATAACAGAAACCTTACAGGCCAGTGGGTAAATTGAATGACCTATTCAAAATGCTGAAGGGAAAAGACCCCCAAACTAGAATATCATGTCCAGAAAAGTAATTCTTCAAACATTAAGGAGAAATAAAGACTTTTCCAGACAAATAAAAGCTAAGGAATTTTGTCAACACTGGACCTATCTTTTAAGAAATGGAGTTCTTTAATCTGAAAGAAAAGGATGGTAAAGAGCAAGAGGAAATGATTTACAGGCACAAAACTCACTGGAAATAGTAAATACACAGACAAATGCAGAATATGCTAGCACTGTAATTGCATTATGTAAAATACTCTTGTCTTCAGTGTGAAGACTAAAATAAAAGCCTAATAAAAATAAGAGTAACTATAACACAAAAATTTGTTAAGAGATAGACAATGTAAAAAGGCATAAATTGAAATAACAAAAAGTCAAAAAGAGGCAGGGGATGGACTTCAAAAGAAAGTTTTTAGTTTCCTCTTTG